GGCAACTAACGCTGTCAACGGTAGTCCATGGATGTCTCTTCATTTACTAGCTTGTCATCTTATTTAGTAGCATGTGATTTCTTCTACAACTATAGCTGACGGTTTACTGAGTGCTTTCATGAGAAAGAGTGTTAAACTGTGGAATAAGAATATCTGAGGAAGTGCCGCGTTTCTCAGGCCGAATGGCATGCGTACAAACTCGAATAAGCCGAAGGGTGTTGTAATAGCTGTCTTAGGGATATCTTCATCAGCCACCGGGATATTGTGATATGCCCTGACTAAGTCAATTTTGGTGAATATGTTCATACCCTGTAAACCGTTTGTGAAATCTTGTATATGCGGTATTGGGTACCTATCTGGTACGGTTTGACGGTTGAGGGCTCTGTAATCCCCACACGGTCGCCAGTCACCTTCATTCTTCTTTGGGACCATATGCAAAGGGGATGCCCATTGACTATCAGAGGGACGGATAATACCCAGTTGTAGCATATAATCAAACTCGGCTCTAGCGATTTTGAGCTTATCTGGTGCTAGTCTCCTGGGTTTTGCAAACACCGGTGCACCTTCGGTTTTGATAGTGTGACTTACTTTTAGTTTGTTTTTGGAAGGCTGTGGGTTTGGTTTAGTTAAGTTTGGAAATTCCGCGAGTATATCTTGGAATTTCGCTGTTGTTACTGGAGGGGTTTGAATCAAGTTAAGAGAGCTGATGTGACTTTCTTTGCCTTTTGTGTAAAACGAAGTTTCTTTTAGTGTTAATCGCCGTTTCTTGGTGTCAACAAGAAATTCGTATCTCTCTAGAAAGTCCATCCCCAGTATTGCCAGATCTAAGTCGGCTACCGTGAAAACCCAAGGGAATTGCCTTCTGAACCCAAAATCTAGGGTTAACGTTTTCTGCCCAAATGTCGCGATTGTAGTTTTATTTGCAGCTTGAAGTGTAATCGGGGATGTTTCTCGACTAATCTCAGTTTTATTTCGAGGGATGATGCTAAGAGCAGCGCCAGTGTCCACCAAGAAATTCAAGCCCGAGTTTCTGTCTCTGACATAAAACAAGCGACAGTTTAGGCGCCCCTCCTCAGTTGTCGCGACCTGGGGAGGGGTTACTCGTTTCCCGCTGTCTTGGAATTATGCTTAGGCCAGGCGCATGGTTGCCTGCACTTGGTTGAGTTGACACCAAACTTCCAGTGGTACCAACAAAACTGCCCAGATTGTCTGGACATTTGTGACCTATTTTGTGACTTGGATCGTGATCGTTGTGGTGACCTGTTCCTGTTTGTATGACCCATTTGCATTCTGGTGACAGCCTCAGTGAGACTCTTAACACTCGCAATGAGTCCTTCTATGACGGGGTCTTTTGCTGATTCTACTTTCTGTGTGTGATTTATTGTGCCTGATCCAGTTGGAGGACCTCTTTCCATTATTCTATCAGCTATACGCGCTAAATGAGATAATGAGGTTTCAGGATCTTGTGCATCCAAACAATGTTGGACGTAGCATGGGAGAGCTTGTATCCATCCTTGTTTTAGGACTGCTTCACCCACTGTGTTATCACCCACTAAGACTTGGAGGTGACGTAGAAACTGTGACGGCGACCGATCACCTAGTGTTTCACCTTGAAAAAGTCTTTGGATTCTTTGACTATCTGATAATGATAAACGGTTCATTATCTCTCGTCTTAAGACGGTGTACGGTTGTGGTGATGGTGGATCTAAAATCAAGTCACGGACTTCTTTGGCGACTGAAGGAGGAAGGATAGAACACAAATCTCTATAGCGAATCCCTTCAGATTTGATATTGTGTCTCGTGAAATAATGCTCTAGTTGAGCAAACCACAACTCAGGATCACTACGATCAAATTCTGGAAGTCGAGATTTCGTAGTCATAACAGTGTCTATCTCCACTGGTGACAAATCCTCCAGATTATGGGTTTCTTTTAAGTCTGACATGAGGTATGTGACAAATATAGCAACAAAATTAGCACGAAAAAAAAATGGTTTCTATGACACGAATAACTTAAGATAATAAAAAAATAAACTATTTATATACCCAACTTAGTTTACGGATTATCAGGTCTACTTTTACGATTGAGTAAAAAATAATAATATTAATAACAAAAATGAGGTTAATTTGTGTTCAAAAAGGGCTCACCAGTTTCGTGCCTATAGGTAACCCTCGTACTATTGATAGAAGAAACACGAGAAGTTGTGAGTACGTGTTTATTTCGATCTTAGCGCAGTCACAGTGGAGCGTGGGATTATCTGTTCAGACAAACAAAGGCTTTCAGCATTCAATATAAGATAATAAGGAATATAACGCTTATACAAAATAAGGAAGTGAATGAATACTTGAACAATACTGTTTTGGCATATGCTTGGTTGTTTGGGGTCAACTCTTAACCAACCAACCTATGCTGTTACAAACTTACTCGTGTTGCTGAAATAATACACCCTACTTGATATAGAGAATTGGTACAATGTGACGACCTATTGTCTTACGCTACATCCATGGTTAGTGCAATCAGGCCATGGGGTAGCCATAATGTTTCCAGGTTGAACTTCTGACTTTAACTATTTTTTTCATTATACACCAAATGTCCAAATTTCTACCGTTTAACGTGAGAACGGTTAAGCTTCGTAATTGATGAGTGGTGAAGATTCAGTGTTATTTAGCCGTCATTACAGTATCACTATATCATATCACGATTTAGCACAGATAATGTTTGTGCGTATCTCCCCACAAATGATGAAGGAGTGTCAGACTTGTAAAAGTAATTGTAACTTTGATTGGGATTCTCCTGCTCCCTTAGTAATATTTTGCATTTTCAACCAGCCTACTACTACTACTACAGATGTAATTGGATGTTCGGATGTTTGGATGGAATAAAATTAAGAAAACAGCCTGACTGTAAACTGAAGATGAATAAAACTATGGAAATCATTTCCCGATATCAGTAAATTGGATCGTTCCACCCTCAGAGAGCGATTACGTCATGTCGAACGGACAGCATGTGCTGGCCCATGTAGTGATGGTCACCGTTTGCATTCCTTTATCTCTTATCATAAATATTATTCTGGTAGGACTTTACCTATTCCATAAACGAAATACAAAATCAAAATAACATAGGTAACACGTTATAGTAGGTCAGGTTAGGAACTAGATGAATGGAGACTGTTACTCCCACGGACTTACCAAACATTTGAAGAGATTAGCATGGCCATCAGTCAAATAAAGAGCGGCAAAACAGCAGGACCAGACATTATTCTGGCAGAGGCATCGAAAACAGATGTATCAGTAACTGTAAAGATACTCCACATTCTCTTCAGCAAGATTTGGGATGAGGAACAAGTACCAAACGACTGGAAAGAAGGATACCTGTTCAAGATACAGAAGAAAAACGATCGTAGCAAGTGTTATAACTACAGGGGCATCACTCTTCTCTCAATACCAGGAAAAGTCTTCAACAGGGTATCGTCAAACAGAATGAAGGACTCCGTAGACGACCAACTCCGAGACCAACAGGCTGGATTCCGTAGGTAACGATCGTGCATAGACTGAATCACAACACCACAGATAATTGTGGAACAATCAAATCAATGGAATTCATCACTCTACACCAACTTAATTGATTACGAAAAAGCATTTCATAACTTGAACAGGACAACACTATGAAGGCATCTTCGACACTACGGAGTACCTAAGAAGATAGTCAATATCATACAGAATTCATATGATGGATTGAACTGCAAAATCGTACATGGAGTACAGTTGACAAAGACGTTCGACGTAAAGAACAGTGTCAGGCAAGGTTGCTTACTCTCACCCTTTCTCTTTCTCCTGCTGGTCGACTGGATCATGAATACATCAACATCTGAGGGGAAGCAGGGGATGCAGTGGACATCTAGGATGCAGCTGGACAATCTGAACTTCGCCGGTGATCTGGCTCCTCCAACACGCACAACACCAAATACAGAATGCAACAATCCAATCATAATTGATGGTGAGGCTTTGGAAGATGTAAAACCTTTACATATCTGGGCAGTAATATTGGTGAAAACGGTGAGTCTGATGCAGATGTGAAGACGCGAATAGGAAAAGCAAGAGCAGAATATTTACAACTGAGGAACATCTGGAACTCAAAACAACTGTCAACCAACATCAAGATCAGGATTTTTAATACAAATGTCAAGAAAGTTCTACTGTATGGGGCAGAAACCTGGAGAACTACGAAAGCAATCATCCAGAAGTTACAGGTGTTTATTAACAGTTGTCTACGCAAAATACTTCAGATCCGTTGATCAGACACTATCAGCAACAACCCACTATGGGAGAGAACAAACCAGATTCCAGCGGAGGAAGCGCTCAGGAAGAAGCGTTGGAAGTGGATAGGACACACATTGAGGAAAACACCCAACTGTGTCACAAGACAAGCCATCTCCTAGAATCCTCAATGTCAAAGGAAAAGAAGAACACCAAAGAACACATCTCACCGAGAAATGGAGACAAATATGAAAATAATGAACAAAGATTGGGTAGAACTAGAAAGAAAGTCCCAGAGCAGAGTGAGCTGGAGAATGCTGGTCAGCGGACTGTGCTTCATTGGGAGTAACAGGCGTGATGAAGTTAGATTTATTGATTCGAGTGCAAATCTAGGTGCATCGACCAGTCCATGACAGTAGACCAATTGCAAGGCATTAGTTGTCTTTTACTCGAAGAACGATAGGTACACTGTTCGACTTTCAGTGACCTGGTAACTGGATGGTCTATCTAGGACCATGACATTTCACTGTCCTACACTATGGATACAATTTCAATTAATACACGACCACCAACATTTTTCTCGTACAATCAGTAAAAAAATATATAGGAAAATTTCCAAATAGAATAAAGATTTTTATGTACTCGTGAAATGAAAAAGCAGGTTGAGATTGTTTGAAATTACCAGTATCTCAGATGCATGCACTGTAGTTTGATCAAAATTTTAAAATGAGTGGGTGTTACCGCTTATGATGGATCGAAAATCATCAGTTAATCGTAAGTGTTCAAATATTTTCATATTACATTCAATATTGACATCAACGCTTCCTTTTTCAATAAGCATTTGTCATCAGTTGTCTGTAGAACACTTCAGCAACAAGAGAACAAAAAATACTTATTGTATACTGGTAGCAAGTACTTCCTCCTCGTATATGTTCAAATAATGGCCACGTTTTCGTTTATAACAGCGAAACAACATCACCTGTATAGCTTTTCTAACGTACCGCTAAAGTTTTTATGTGTCATTTTTAATTTCATGTTTCGTACCTCAGTTTATTCTTCTGTCAGGATTGTCACTGTCGTGATAGAATACATTTCATCATAAACTTTGTTGACTGAAACTATCGACATTCAAGTTGTTCCTCAAAAAAGCCTGACCTGCAGATGATTACCTTAATTTTATAGAAAAGTACAGTATGTTTTTTTAGTAATTCATGAAAATTTATAGGGAAAAGCACTTCGGGATGATCTTTAAATTCCTAACTGACCATCCTGTAAACTAATGTGCTAACTTTAGATGTATGCAGCTAGTTGCATGAAGTATCCTTTTAGCCTTTATTGACCAGTTCTAATCTGTCTACTGTTCTTCAGTAAGAATGTATTGCTTTAGGTAACTGATCGGCCCACAATATTATAATTCCGTACTATTTGGTTCATACAAAGTCAAAATTAATACGTCAGTATTTAAACTTTAAGCTCTGAGGTATGAAACAGGGGTCTGTTTCGCAAAGAGTGGTATCATATTTTATATTTTTATAAAGACAATAATCAATAATTCAAAGTAATAGAGGATTTGCAATTGCAAAATATTTATTCAGCCAGTAAACATCATTTTTGAGAACGATATATGCCGCTGTGATACCGTACCTTCATTCGATACTTAAATATAAGACAAGATAATTTTCATTTGAAGATGAGAGGTTTCTAGTTTCTGACTTCGAAATCACCTTTACTTTTTACAATGTTTTTCGGCATTTGTTATATATATATCCATGAGACATTTAATTCATAACCTCACAATCAAAGTAAATTCCTGGCCTAATAGTTCTAGTAAGTGAACCAAAACCTTTCCACATATTTTTGTTTGGAATTAATGTTCATACCACCAAATTACAGCTCAGTAAATTATTTAAAGTAAGCGGTGCTTCAAATAAACCAGTTTTTACTGGCACTAAATAGTTACACCATAACATCAGTCTTGGTACAATACGTTTTTAGATATGTTTTCTCCATAGAAAAAATGGAACATCACAATGTTCAGTTGAGAAGTTCTTTTACAGTTTCAATATGAAAAGGATGAGAGGCTAGATAGCCTGTGTTAGTCCTGGGAATGGTTGTGTTTCATTTGACACAGCCTTCTTCTGAAGGCGTCGACAGGTGGAGCTTCAATCACGTGTATAGTTAACGAATTTTATTCGTTGATGATTCAACAGGAAAGTCGATAGTCGGTTGATGATTAATTTGCTATGGGTTTGTAAACTGTCTTAGAGTGTCCTTATGAATCCTCTGTTTCGAAAAACAAAAAATGTGGGGGTATTTTAGATACAAGTGTTTCATTCAGTAATTTAATAAATGTGATCAATTCACCTCTGGTTTTTTGGTATGTAACAGGAAATAGGTTTAGTTTAACCAGTTGAATATCATACGGGAGGTTTGCGATTCGGGATATCAGCTTAGCTGTGGTTCTCTGAATCCTTTCCAATAGGTCATTGTTTCGTTTTAGGTAGAGGTTATCCGCTTGTATTCAGCACTAGAGTTTAGGATGAACGTATACTGTATTAAAAGTTAAAGGAGTTCTAGCATTGACTTGCCCAACAACTATACGTATGGACCATATGATCGTAAAAACTTTGACGTCTGTCTCATGGCAGTGTGCAGTATATTTTAAGTCTTGGAAACGATGACTCATAAGATATTGTGTGTGAACACCAGGTAGCTCACTGTTATTCACCGTGGTGACCAATATGAGTTATAATGTGCTCGGAAGCATTAACCGACGTCTGCCAAGTTCTAGATAATTCAGGTAATTTCTCCAATTCATCTTGACTCTCAAAACTATCCATTCACTTTTCACCTCTCTCTATATCTTGACAGCATCTGCATATAACAAAACCGATGATGATAGGAGACTAGAAAGGTCATTTACGCACATATGGGAAAATACTGGTTTCAGAACTGTACCCTGAAGCATTCCGCTAAGTATAGTTTCCCGGCTAGGCAACTTCGATTTTACCTGTACTCTTTGTGGCGCCCAACCAAAACGTCCTTTTTCTACATTAGTGATGTGCCTCCATACCCAATACCACCTAAATTAGATGTCAGTTGGTTAGAAAGAACTTTTTAAAAAGCCTTACTGAAGTCAATATAGGCTACATCTATAGGTAACTTTGGATTTTTAAGGGCTCATCAACTTTCACTGGCTACGAACAAGTTATTGAGACACGGATAGTTTGTTCTAAAGCCGTGGTGCTTTTCAGAGAGAATCCGGTTTTCATCGTGGTACTTAAAAAACCCCTTCCAAATAATATCTTTTAAAACTAACGGTCACACTAGTTAGTCGTATGGGTCGATAATTATCAGGTTTGTGTCTTGTACCTGTTTTGAAGACTGGGCTTACTATGGCATTCTTCTAGTCATTTGGCAATCTGTTTTGGGTTTCAGATAAACTAAGACATATTCGTAAGGGGTTTGTGATAAAATTTGCCGATTTATGTAGCAACTCAAGGTGTATTTCATCAATTTCCATGGATTTGCCTATATCAAGCTCATTTAGTAGACCAAAGACATCGAGTTCTTTAATAATCACAAAGTTCACAGTGTGTGTAAGGGGTTGTTTGAGAGGAAGGAAAGGGCATCTCTACGGTATATGCATTGGTAAAGTGATGTGAGAATACCTGAACTTTATCATAGTCGTCCTCCGCTAATGATGCAGCATTTCTGCTCCCCATCTTTACATGTAACATCGTGCCAACACACCTTTTAGAATAAATGGTCTTTGGTTGATTCATATTTCTGAGTGGAATAAATTAGGTGGTTGCCTGATGAACTGAATAAAGTGTTTTAGTCCAAATGCTAAGTTAAACAGTTGAAGCTATGATAAATGGGCTTTAGTCTTACTTTGAATGTGAAAACCATGGAGCAAGTAGAAACAGGAGCAAAACGTTCGTGTTATCGGTAAAAACTACTAAAAATATTTTCCAAGCTGTCATAAGATATTTCGGCTAACAAAAAACCAAGAAAGTTCAGCGAAAAACTTCTTCACACGAAATAATTTACTTAAGCTGTACACTAAAATTTATGGTTGTTTGATTAAACGTACGATTTTGTTAAAGAGCAGGTAGAGACTACATCATTCAGTGATCAGAAATTTCAAACAGCAAAATACGGTTAGCTGGTGACTAAGCGGTTAGATAAGAAAGCAGGATGGAAATAGTGTATGGGTTAGAAATATGAAATATGACGGTGGTCTAACAACAATAGATTCATGATCTCTATCAAAAACTTAACAAACTCCACAACCCCATGCTGATGGAAGATGGTTGTCCGATCAACAGAGATGAACAAGAAATAAACAGCATATAGGTCATAATCACAGTTTTGTGATTGATTTGAAAATTGTTAGAGCACAGAACGAAATTGATTACGGCTGAAACAGTAAAAAATTATTAACAAAGGCGAGATCCAAACATACTGTGAAAAGGAATTAGAACCATGTAGGAGGAGCGGATTCATCATTGGTGGGTAAAATATGAACCGCAGTGACATGTTGGATCAATTCAATAACTGTCACTTCTTAATTAATTTCACACTCAAAGCAGAGGTAAAAATGAGACTTCCCCTCCTTGATGTCCTATTGAAAAAGGTGGTCAGATGATTCCTTAGAAAGATCTGTTCTGTTATGTAAGATATCTGCAGCTATATCTCTTTTGACTTTTCAATACATGGGCAGATTGAATATAACGCGATAAACAATATTAAAATATGTTTGTTGTTACTGATTGGAATTTATTTTTTGTTCCTTTGTAATTAAAAAAAATTAAATAGCACTTTGAATCAGCCCCCACATCCTTCTATTTTTAAAGAATAAATATGTTTCACTTCATTCATATTACAATAATTGATGTAATTTCGTTATTCAGATATCTCTTGATTGTTTAGATATACCTATCATATTGATTCTATCAATTCAAATATTGCTTTCACGATCCTATATTGTTTCTCAACCTGAAAAAGTGTACTGTACGCTATGTAATACACCTAAAAGATACACCCATTTAAGATTGTAAATTTATATGTTAAATAGTTGGATGTAGTAGATAGTAGACTTGGGCCTATATTTCGTGCTAACTTGTAATGGTCAGCGCGGTGTGCCAGTAATCTTGGGCGAATCGATGTTCTTTTTGGAGTTCAAACTTGAGTCATTCAGTCTCATAGTCGGAAATATTAGCACTAATCCATTAGGGGGCGACTATAGCCCTATAGGACTTAGATATTTTCAACTGACTGACTACTGAGTCATGGTCATTGACATATTTTTAGCTCTTAAGTTCCGACGGAATAAAATCTATTACATTGATACACAAAATAACAGACAATTTAATTTGTGAAATCGATCATTTTAACAATTTAAAATGACTTAAAAGAGATGAGGATTATAGAGTATTGAGTGACGAATTTATTTTGACTTGTAACCATTTATCGTTTGAACTTAAACCAGAATATCCTATGATGCCACCACGTATTAAACAGATCTCTAAATAACTGAGAGTGAATCAACAGACTTGTATTTTCATTTTGATTTAAGTTATGATCTGGTTCAATTTGTTTAGAAATATAATCTCTGAACCTATGATCTTATTGCTCTTAAGAATGTTAAAATTTCTGTTATTATCACTTTCTAAGATGTTAAGATATTCTAAATCTGGATAATATTTAGAAATCATATTATATCTTTTAAGAGATAACATACATTAACTGTTGAATTAGTTGACTGTATG